AAAGTACATGATAGTTCTAGAAACGTTGCGTCATAGTAGTCACGTGACTCGCTGACGCAACAATACTCTATCCCTATTAAATAGCCTGTTACCCTCTATTTAAAAAAATATTCTTTCATCGATTTTATCTATGTTTAATCATGTTTCAGTTATTCCCATTATATCAAAATATTCCATTTCTACCAGTGGTCTAAAGTCATCTATTTTATTTCTTATACTTCTAGCATTACAATAGTAACAATTAAGCCTATCCTTATAACTACTTCTATACTCATTTCCTATGTTAAACTTTTCTTTGGCTCTTATTCTTTTTGCATTCAGTTTTTCCTGGCCCTCACCACTGTCTATTCTTAGCTTAAGACTTCCTTTAATAGCTGAGTTAATAGCCCTATCATACAAGCCAGCCCCTATCCTATTTAAATGTAAACCATCCATTGCAAAAAGTTCCCTTCTCCCACTGAACTAATCCCACAAGTCCAACCAGCCAATCTGCTCATCCTTACATACTAACCCAAGCCAAGCATGCCCTACTTATAACTTCATCCCCACGGTTAATTCTGGGTAGTATTCCTGACAAAATTAAGTTGTGGCCGTTTTCTTTAATTGCCTTTATCAACCCCTTATACTTATATACCTATGCATGTATATAGGGGTCCTTGCTCTATCTTAGCCTGCAGTTTCCCTCTGAATTTTGTTTTCTTAGGGAAAGCTGATGAACACTTACCTACCTATACAGAGTATACAACTACGATTATAAGAAGTTATCATATTTCATGCCCTTGGGAACCAGGTGGCTCAGTCTTCCTTGAAAATTACAGGGGGGGTATACCCCCCTTTGGATACTCCCAGTGAACTTCGATAAGTTTAGAATTCCTCAAGTTGAGTGGATTTTTTAATCCAAAATAATGAATCAAGATGAATAGATAAAAAAAGTTGGATATAAATTAAATTAAAAAATAGGTCATGCAAGTTGGTCATTCAACTGTTTATTTTCACATATATTTGGCTAACTTATTTTTCCCGATTTTCATCATTTCTTGGTCTCCACTACAACAAAATATGCCCAGAATTGTCATTCTAGGTGTAAAAAATTTCCCTTACTTACTTTTCTGCCAATCCTCCGTCCGTTAGTCCTGAAATTACAATAGGGTTGAAAGGTTCTTCAATTCCTGATATGGTTATTCCAAGCGGTCCTCCATGACGTACTAACTCCACAGTATAAACAACAGTTCCTGAGGAGTCTGGTTCTTCTAAGGAAACAAACAGATCACTAAATAAAACAGAAGTATCTGACGTTTCTGGTAAGATGGGTATCTTGGGAACAACAACACACGTAAGTATTAAGTATTATGACATTTAATTAAGTATTAAGTATAATGACATAGCTCGTTTTTAAAATAGGCTTAAGTATTTGCTTACAAATCATAATCGTTTATTTGTATAATATTACATATGAATAATGTATACTTAGAGAAGTTGTAACAGACTGATAAATACTAGAATTTAGAACAACACAGAATTATAGGTTGGGTTATAATAAATAATAAAAACAGTCTGTTAAATGTCTCATAAAGACCCAGTTTTTCCCATTGATGTGCATAAAGATGCTATTATCATTTGGAAATTAAATATTAAACACTTTAAAAGTTCTTCTTTCTCTGCTACAATTGTGGTACAGAAATGTTTTCATAGGTTAGTCATGTGTTTGGAAGAAAAGCTTTAGATGTGAAATATTGAGAGAAATTATTAAAATGTATGGTGAACCACGTGAGGTTTTACAAAAAAAAACAAAAAACGTCTGGTTTTCTGTATATATACCTATGGGTTGAAATTCATACAAA